CTGCCCGTCCCCCACCCTGTGCCCTGTTGCTGCCCGGGACCCAGATTTCCCTGCGAGAGGGGCGTGTGCCTGGGCAGGGTGGGGGTGAATGTGGGTATCGAGCGGGGCTGGGAGGCAGCTGGGGGCCCTTTCAGTGGGGAAGGGAGCTTGGTGCATGAGCGGTGTCTAAAAGGGGGTAACTGGAGCCTGAGGCTGGGCTGAGATACAAAGGGGAGGTGCTGGGATGCCTGCCCCTGTTCCCTGCCCAAAGCTCTGCTTCCCATATCAGCTTGTGGCTGGCAGGTGCGTGACTGAGAAGACCCTGCCTGGCTCTGTCTGCTGGGAGGCACGAGGAGCGCTCCCCTTTCCTCTGCTCCCTGGAGCCTTTTGGCTGCTCTGAGGAGGGTGGAGGGGATGAGATTCTGCTCCTCTGCCCCTCCCAGAGCTGCTTTGTTTCTGTGTCTTCTCCCCTGACTAGTGGGATTTTGGCTGGGGCGGCAGGCACTGAATGGGGGACCCCTGTTGTTTCAGATGCGGGTGACCTTTGAGGAGGTGGCTGTGTATTTCACTGTGGGGCAGGGGGCGCTGCTGGACCCCGCTCAGAGAGCCCTCTACAGGGACGTCATGCAGGAGAACTACGAGACTGTGGCCTCGCTGGGTAAGGATTCCTGTTCCCTCAGCTAGCAAAGCCCTGGGGCCGGCATTTCTGCATCTTGTCAGGTTCTTCCGAGTCCCATATGAGAGACACTTTCATAGCCATGCTCCCTTCTGCGGAACGAGGGAGTCAGACACCTAGGGGACATGCTAATTCATCCCCATCTCCCCAGTTTTCGGGGCCAGTCTCAGAGAGCTATTCACCTCCATAGCAGGTTATGGGAGCCATGGGCCTAATGAACATGCTAATTCATCCCCATCCCTCCAGCTGTCATGGGAGCAGAAATATTGTGTTACCCTCTGTGCATCAATTCTCACTCGCATCCAGAGCCTCTGTGCACCTTCCTTCATGGGACTGGCTCTTTCTATGGAGCGGGCTTTAGGGGTTCAGACATAGGCAGGGGTTTAAAAGCAGAGCTGTATGTGTCTCAGCAAGTTCCCCAGAGTCCACAGACAGACATCTGCTCTCCTATAACCCTCAGAAAAGTCATGGGGTGAGTTTAAACTCCAGCTGTGTCCTTTGTGAGAAATAGAGCCCCAGTCCACATTGCCCTTGTCTCAGGCCTGATTTCATCCCCCGAACAGGACACCCCATTCCCAAACCTGCACTGATCGCCCGGCTGGAAGCAGGGGAAGAGCCGTGGGTTCCAGATCTCCAGGCCTCCGAGGAAAGCAAGATCCCAAAAGGCTCCAGCACAGGTGAGGAGTCAGTGGCACAGAAAGTGTCTGACAAATGGAGAATCCACATTGCCCTTGTCTCAGGCCTGATTTCATCCCCCGAACAGGACACCCCATTCCCAAACCTGCACTGATCGCCCGGCTGGAAGCAGGGGAAGAGCCGTGGGTTCCAGATCTCCAGGCCTCCGAGGAAAGCAAGATCCCAAAAGGCTCCAGCACAGGTGAGGAGTCAGTGGCACAGAAAGTGTCTGACAAATGGAGAAAAAAGTTTAAAATCCCCAGCATGTGGTCTGAGCACCCTCAGCTCTGCCTCCTCTCACCCAGGTCAGGCTGTGATCAGTACTTGCTATGTCATCCCAGCAGATATCGCTCATAGCTTCCCGCTCTTTGGCTATGTCTCCACTGCAGGCTTTTTGTGCAAGAACAGCTGTTCTTGCGCAAAAACTTGTGGCACGTCTACATTGTTTGCATGCATGTTCTTGCGCAAGTAAATTTACAGTAAAGCATCAGAAGAGAGGGCTTCTTGTGCAAGAGTTATTCTCCCCACGAGGAATAAGCCCTCTTGTGTAAGAGCTCTTGCACAAGAAACCCCTGTGCCTAAAATGGCCATCAGTTTTCTTGCGGAAGAGAGCGTCTACACTGTCATGGATGCTCTTGCACATGGCAACAGAACTCTTGCACAAAACAGTTCTTGCACAAGAAGTCTGCAGTGTAGACGTAGCCCTCCTGTTTGCTGTCAGGAGTTTTCTCCTTGTCTTCACTGCCCTGGGACTTTTTGGACGGCATGTGGTGGCAGTGTCCAATTCCTTAGTCTTCCCAGCAGGGACTATTGTGTTTTCCCTCTTTGCATTTTCCTTTCTTGTCCTTTGTACAACCCAGGAACTGACTTCTGCCTGGATTTATTCTTTCCCCAGCAGGTGCTGAGACTGTGAGTGAGAACGAGGAGGATAAACCTCAGCATGAAGGGGACCTTTTTGAGAAGAGCTGAACAGTGTGTTCCCCATTCCTTGGAACAGAGCAAAGTCTGGAGTGATGAGCACATGTCAGGGAGGAAGCTGGGAGGCCGCACAAGGAAGACAGTGTATGAATCAATTGGCTGTAGTGGAGGAGGCAAAGATCCCAAAGAAATCACAGTGGAGTGGACAAATCACAATGAAAAGAAACCCTATAAGTGCTTGGACTGTGGGAACAGCTTCAGTTACCACTCATACCTTATTAAGCACAGGAGAATACACACGGGGGAGAGACCGTATAAATGCCATGAGTGTGGGAAAAGCTACATACAGAGCTCAAGTCTTACTACACACCACAGAGTGCACACAGGGGAGAGACCCTATGCATGCTTGGACTGTGGGAAAAGCTTCAGTATGAGTTCACATCTGATTATACATCAGAGACTACACAGCGGAGAAAGACCCTATAAATGCTTGGATTGTGGGAAAAGCTTCAATGTGAGAGGGAATCTTATTGCACATCAGAGAGTGCACACAGGAGAGAGACCATATGCATGCCTTGAGTGTGGGAAAAGCTTCAATCGTAGCTCAAGTCTTAATAGACATCGGCGACTGCACATAGGAGAGAGCCTAGAAGTGCCTTGAGTGTAGGAAAAGGTTCAGTGATGGATCAAAACCCATTACACATCAGAGAACACACACGGGCGAGAAACCACGTAAATCCCTGGATGACGGGGAAAGCTTTAGTTCCAGCTGTTCCTACTTTCCTAAACATCCGAGAGTCCATATGGGACAGAATTAATAAATGCCTGGACAGTGGAAAAAACTTCATGTAAAGATCAAAATCTTGATTCACGTGACACAAACCACACACTGAAGAGAGCCCAGACCTGCTTGGATTGTGGGAAAGCCTTCAGTAACTGCAGGAAGAGACACAGTCTGAGTTCTCTGTGACTCCCAATCCTGCACATCAGTCTCCAGGAAATCCACATGGGGAAGAGCCTTTCATACCCTCAGCATAGAAAATGCTTTACTCGGTGCTAACACTACATTGGCCATCAGAGACTGCTCCACACGGGAGTAAAGCTTTCAGTGTCCTGGCTGGGACTGGCCTTAGCAAAACTCCATTTCCTCATTCCCACACACACTGGTGGCATGTGGCTCCCAGGTCTCCTTCGGCCCATATCTGGGCAGGATTCCAGCAGTAGCTGACTTGAAGGTGATCAGGGACGCTCTGTCTTTTTCTAGTCTAAGTCAATGGGTCTTATAGTCTTGGTTGGGACACAAAGTGAGTAGTAACCCCATTTTAATGGGGTCACTAGACCAGGCCTACATCTACACTGGCATAAATTTCCGGAAATGCTTAAAACGGAACAGTCTACATTGGCAGGATGAGCGTCTACATTGGCAGGATGCTTTTCCGGAAAAGCACGTTTTCTGGAAAAGCGTCTGTGACCAATGTAGACGCGCTTTTCCGCAAAAAAGCCCCGATCGTCATTTTCGCGATTGGGGCTTTTTTGCGGAAAAGACTATTGGGCTGTCCACACTGGCCCTTTTCCGGAACAGTTTTCCAGAAAAAGGACTTTTGCCCGAACTGGAGTTGCATAGTATTTCCGGAAAAGCAGCTGATTTCTTACAGTAGATTGTCAGTGCTTTTCTGGAAATTCAAGGGGCCGGTGTAGACAGCTGGCAAGTTATTCCAGAAAAGCCGCTGCTTTTCCGGAATAAGTGGCCCAATGTAGACACAGCCCTGGTGTTAGACCTTATGAGGGCCCAAGCCAAAGCCCAAATTGAGGGGCACCATATCAGATTTTGGTGGTGGGGCAACCTGTGCATGTCATGATGGGAGGAGGAAGAGTGAGAGTGTGAGGGGAATGGACTCAGAGGCTTCAGCAGTGTTATTGAGCATGCTCAGTACAAGCCAAGCACCAAATGCGAGGCGGGGGGAACCATATCCATCTGCCCTCTCCTCACACATATCTCTATCCAGGGGCTACTTGGACATTGGAATCTCTACTTTTTTGGCAGACAACTTAGTAGTTGGCTGACAGGAGCACTGTATCTAATTCCTATATAAAAGAAAGAGAAAAGTAAATAAATACTAGACTGACTCAGCTCTAACATTAACGTATTCTGACATCTTGTGATAAGTCACTTGAGGGACACTGATTGGTCTTATAATTTTAATGTATATTCTCACTTCATTACTAACTGGAGAGAGAGGATGTGTCTACACTGCACCCATAGCTTGAAATAAGCTCCACAATTTGAGCTATGCAAATTCTCTGTGCCACTTGGTCTGGCTGCATGTAGGGTTGCTGGATGGTTTCAACAAAAGTACTAGACACACTTGATATTACATGGTAGTCTACGTTACATCTTAGTTAAAAAATACCAGACGTATATTTTCTCATTTATATCCTCTCAATTTGTTTCCTGAACAGAAAGCTCAGACTGGACTATCCTGGCAACCCTAGCTGCATGAGGTTGCACGTGCCATGTGCTGCTACCTCTCCCCGCCCCCCCAGCACACTGCAAATGGTAGCCACTGCACTCACCAGACAATCCCTCGCCAGCTTTGGAGGATGCCCGGGACACATCCTGACTGCTGCTGGGCCAGGATGGTGAGGTCTGGCTGCTGTCCTCTGTCACCTCCTTCTCCTCATCCGAGGACGGTCTCCCTCCTCCTCATCCTTCGGTGGCCTGGGTTGGACCACTGGGGTGGCCACTGCTATGTCTACCTGGGACAGCAGGGGAGTGGCCCCTTTGTCCCCCAAGATCTGGTGCAGGCGGTGATACTGGGGACAGGCAGTGGCTCCGCCGCCCCCATGCTCTCTGGCCCGCATGTAGGTGAGGTGCAGGTCCTTCACCTTGGCCTGGACCTGTTCCAGGGTCTGGGCCGGGTGTTCCTTTGTGGCCAGTGCTTGGGCCATCTGGGCAAAAATGTGCTCATTTCTTCTCCGGGGCTTGGGGTCCTGGAGGGCCTCCTCCTTTCCCCAGAGGTCCAGGAAGGCAGTCACCTTGGCGGTGCTCCAGCATGAAGCCTGCTGCTTGGTGCCCCTTCGGGCCTGCTGGGTGCTCTGGGGTGGCTCCTCCATGGGGTCTGAGGGACCTCGCTGAGGCTGGGCAGCTGCCATTCCTCCCTCTGGCTGCTACCCCGGCTGCATGGGGCAAATGGCTGTGCTCCCTGCCTGTGCATT